TATCACATTCCTCTTGATGTCCTCTCATCCACTAAACTTATATCACATTCCTCTTGATGTCCTCTCATCCACTAAACTTATATCACATTCCTCTTGATTTACTCTCATCCACTAATGTTCTATCACATTCCTCTTGATGTCCTCTCATCCACTAAACTTAAATCACATTCCTCTTGATTTACTCTCATCCACTAATGTTCTATCACATTCCTCTTGATTTACTCTCATCCACTAATGTTCTATCACATTCCTCTTGATTTACTCTCATCCACTAATGTTCTTATATCACATTCCTCTTGATGTCCTCTCATCCACTAATGTTCTTATATCACATTCCTCTTGATGTCCTCTCATCCACTAATGTTCTTATATCACATTCCTCTTGATGTCCTCTCATCCACTAATGTTCTATCACATTCCTCGTGATGTCCTCTCATCCACTAATTTTATATCACATTCCTCTTGATGTCCTCTCATCCATTAAACTTATATCACATTCCTCTTGATGTCCTCTCATCCACTAAACTTATATCACATTCCTCTTGATGTCCTCTCATCCACTAATGTTATATCACATTCCTCTTGATGTCCTCTCATCCACTAATGTTCTATCACATTCCTCTTGATGTCCTCTCATCCACTAATGTTCTTATATCACATTCCTCTTGATGTCCTCTCATCCACTAATGATCTTATATCACATTCCTCTTGATGTCCTCTCATCCACTAATGATCTTATATCACATTCCTCTTGATGTCCTCTCATCCACTAATGATCTTATATCACATTCCTCTTGATGTCCTCTCATCCACTAATGATCTTATATCACATTCCTCTTGATGTCCTCTCATCCACTAATGATCTTATATCACATTCCTCTTGATGTCCTCTCATCCACTAATGATCTTATATCACATTCCTCTTGATGTCCTCTCATCCACTAATGATCTTATATCACATTCCTCTTGATGTCCTCTCATCCACTAATGATCTTATATCACATTCCTCTTGATGTCCTCTCATCCACTAATGATCTTATATCACATTCCTCTTGATGTCCTCTCATCCACTAATGATCTTATATCACATTCCTCTTGATGTCCTCTCATCCACTAATGATCTTATATCACATTCCTCTTGATGTCCTCTCATCCACTAATGATCTTATATCACATTCCTCTTGATGTCCTCTCATCCACTAATGATCTTATATCACATTCCTCTTGATGTCCTCTCATCCACTAATGATCTTATATCACATTCCTCTTGATGTCCTCTCATCCACTAATGATCTTATATCACATTCCTCTTGATGTCCTCTCATCCACTAATGATCTTATATCACATTCCTCTTGATGTCCTCTCATCCACTAATGATCTTATATCACATTCCTCTTGATGTCCTCTCATCCACTAATGATCTTATATCACATTCCTCTTGATGTCCTCTCATCCACTAATGATCTTATATCACATTCCTCTTGATGTCCTCTCATCCACTAATGATCTTATATCACATTCCTCTTGATGTCCTCTCATCCACTAATGATCTTATATCACATTCCTCTTGATGTCCTCTCATCCACTAATGATCTTATATCACATTCCTCTTGATGTCCTCTCATCCACTAATGATCTTATATCACATTCCTCTTGATGTCCTCTCATCCACTAATGATCTTATATCACATTCCTCTTGATGTCCTCTCATCCACTAATGATCTTATATCACATTCCTCTTGATGTCCTCTCATCCACTAATGATCTTATATCACATTCCTCTTGATGTCCTCTCATCCACTAATGATCTTATATCACATTCCTCTTGATGTCCTCTCATCCACTAATGATCTTATATCACATTCCTCTTGATGTCCTCTCATCCACTAATGTTCTTATATCACATTCCTCTTGATGTCCTCTCATCCACTAATCTTATATCACATTCCTCTTGATGTCCTCTCATCCACTAAACTTATATCACATTCCTCTTGATGTCCTCTCATCCACTAAACTTAAATCACATTCCTCTTGATTTACTCTCATCCACTAATGTTCTATCACATTCCTCTTGATGTCCTCTCATCCACTAATGTTCTATCACATTCCTCTTGATGTCCTCTCATCCACTATTTTTCTATCACATTCCTCTTGATGTCCTCTCATCCACTAATGTTCTATCACATTCCTCTTGATGTCCTCTCATCCACTAATGTTCTATCACATTCCTCTTGATGTCCTCTCATCCACTAATGTTCTATCACATTCCTCTTGATGTCCTCTCATCCACTAATCTTATATCACATTCCTCTTGATGTCCTCTCATCCACTAATCTTATATCACATTCCTCTTGATGTCCTCTCATCCACTAATGTTCTATCACATTCCTCTTGATGTCCTCTCATCCACTAATGTTCTTCTATCACATTCCTCTTGATGTCCTCTCATCCACTAATGATCTTATATCACATTCCTCTTGATGTCCTCTCATCCACTAATGATCTTATATCACATTCCTCTTGATGTCCTCTCATCCACTAATGATCTTATATCACATTCCTCTTGATGTCCTCTCATCCACTAATGATCTTATATCACATTCCTCTTGATGTCCTCTCATCCACTAATGATCTTATATCACATTCCTCTTGATGTCCTCTCATCCACTAATGATCTTATATCACATTCCTCTTGATGTCCTCTCATCCACTAATGATCTTATATCACATTCCTCTTGATGTCCTCTCATCCACTAATGATCTTATATCACATTCCTCTTGATGTCCTCTCATCCACTAATGATCTTATATCACATTCCTCTTGATGTCCTCTCATCCACTAATGATCTTATATCACATTCCTCTTGATGTCCTCTCATCCACTAATGTTCTTATATCACATTCCTCTTGATGTCCTCTCATCCACTAATCTTATATCACATTCCTCTTGATGTCCTCTCATCCACTAATCTTATATCACATTCCTCTTGATGTCCTCTCATCCACTAATGTTCTATCACATTCCTCTTGATGTCCTCTCATCCACTAATGTTCTATCACATTCCTCTTGATGTCCTCTCATCCACTAATGTTCTATCACATTCCTCTTGATGTCCTCTCATCCACTAATGTTCTATCACATTCCTCTTGATGTCCTCTCATCCACTAATGTTCTATCACATTCCTCTTGATGTCCTCTCATCCACTAATGTTCTATCACATTCCTCTTGATGTCCTCTCATCCACTAATGTTCTATCACATTCCTCTTGATGTCCTCTCATCCACTAATGTTCTATCACATTCCTCTTGATGTCCTCTCATCCACTAATGTTCTATCACATTCCTCTTGATGTCCTCTCATCCACTAATGTTCTATCACATTCCTCTTGATGTCCTCTCATCCACTAATGTTCTATCACATTCCTCTTGATGTCCTCTCATCCACTAATGTT